GTTACACACAAAACGAATCATAAATGTCAAACCAAAGAACGTCATTCCTGCACAATCCACCCATGTTAGTGAGTCAATCCAATGATCGAAAACGGTGACTAAATATAAAATAAATAATTTTTTGCTAACAATTTCATTGAATTAATCCAAAATTTCCGCATTTCTTCACAAAACAAATTGCCCAGAGCTAAAAGTGATTTGATCCAACAATCAGACGATTGTTTATTTTGTATCCAGGGACATCAATAAATTGAAGGTAAAATAACTTTTACCATTTCATCGCATTAAATTTTAGAATTGAAATGAGTAACTATATGGTGGAATGAACCAGAATGTCGGATTCAGAATCAATAAATAGATGGCCAGAGATGACTAAGCGCACGCTCAGTAGCGTATTCAGCAACTCAACTGAGAGTCGTTTTCTGCTCTGTGCGTTTACACTCACTTCGTTATGAGTTTATGTGCGCACTCTGACTTTGTTGTTAAGAAATGTGTGCGCACTCTAACTCTGTTGGCTATTATGGTTTATACACACATATAAAGAGTTGAGTGTGTATTGTCTTATTCTTTTCTTTGTGTTTCTTTCTTTGTATATCCTCTCTATTGTTTCTTCGTTGTGTACGAGTGCGGTGTAGCGCACTCCGTTGGTGCGCTTATACTCTCTTCATGGAGTGGGTTTGTTTGTGCTGCAGCGCAATATCGCACTGAGCATGTTTTAAGCACGCAAACTCAGTGTCCGTGCGGCCGTTGCTCGGTCACTCGGTGCGCTTCAGTCATCTCTGTAGATGGCATAAAAACCTTTCTCTTCTATCAATTCGTAACTAAAAAATCACTTTTCCCCACAGATAATCGACGAATTTCATCACCGCCATCGAACATAACCTCAACCACATTGCCAATTGAAGGTAGTCAAAATGGATTTCTATGTTGATTTCTCAGACTGAGTTTCTCAGTACACTCTTTGATTTCAAGTTCAATTTAAGAATTATTCCAAATCATTGAATTGTGTAACATTTTTTGTCGTTTATTTTGCAGCACTTTAGATTTGCTGCAAAGAGGGAAACCAGTCAGGAACAATGCCAGTTTATGACCCACTGAACAGCGACTATTCAAGTAAATTGCTCACGGCGATCGGAAGAAAGTTGTACTTGAACTCCGAATTGGCCGATGTTCACTTTGTCTTCGAAGCAAATCATGACTTCGAACGAGTACCGGCCAATAAAGCTCACTTGATGACTGGCAGCGATGTGTTCGCCACAATGTTCAATGGATCATGGAAAGAGATGGATAAGGTGAAGATTGGCGATGTATCGGCTGCTGCCTTTAAGGAATTTCTCCAGTTTTTCTATTTAGGCCAAGTCAAGCTGACGATGGAAAACATCGCCGAAGTGATGAATCTCGGCGAAATGTACAATGTGGCCGAGTGTTTGGCGGTGTGCAACAAGTTCCTGAAAAACAATCTCAACAATGATAATATTTGTCGACACTATGGATTGGCAATGCTGTTGAATCAGAAGAACTTGAAAAAGGCATGTGAAACATTCATCGTATTGAATGCCAAAACAGTGCTGAAATCAACAGACTTCCTGGCATGTGATCGAAAGATACTGGCTCAAATACTCAAACTGAATTGGATGTCATGCACTGAGATTGAGCTCTTCGAGGCATGCATATCCTGGGTCAAAGCAGCTAGCAAGCAGAATGTTCTGACCAAGGAGATCGTACAAGCTCACCTCGGCGACTTGTTCCATGAAATTCGCTTTGGTTCGATGTCATTGCAAGCGTTCGCTGCATTGATCCCAACGTATGGAAAATCATTCTCGTTTGACGAGCAACAAGAAATCATTCAAATG